GCCATATAGCGGCTAATTGTTTATTCAAAAACAATCAGACATTAAAAAAAAAGATAAGGTGGGGGGGAAGAAACGCTGTGCTCTTTACAAAGCAAGTTAACCCTTTATAAATAAGATAGAGTGCACTGTCACATGCATGTCCATACATTATGAGAGAGTATAAAATTGTGTATCAAAACAATGCCCTTCATCATAGAATGCCTCTGGGCTCACATGGGTTCCTTAGAAAACAAAATGGAGGTTGTTGCAATCTAGTGCTTTATTTATACCCTTCTACCCAGATACACACACACACACACACACACGAAAACGGAGGCGGAAGGAGCGACTGGAGGGTCTGAGGAAGTAATCAGTATTTTATTACTAGCTATACCCACCGTGGCAGCCACTTTGTGGTACCATATGGTCAAGGGTTCAGATGTGCTCATTAGCCTGAAAGGTTGTCTAGCCCAATGTGTATTTCCCATTTTGAATAGTAACAAGTATCCAGAATCAATAATATTTGGGCTTTCCTTAAATATTTTTACTGTATTTGAGTTGTATTTTTCTCTTTCTTCCCTAGTCCTGATAAACCAGTTAAATGGGCATATATGTCCCCAGAGGATACTGGGGTTGTAGTTTTCTCAACCTACAAGAAATCTACCTACTGAGAAATTTAGTTAGGATAAAAAACACTGCTAGACATTACCTGAATTCTGAGAATGGGGTTATTTGTTTCACAGCAAGGAAATGGGCTGCTCTGAAGACCTAGCTGTCTTTGGATTAGGAATATATTAAGCCCTTTCTGAAATTTCAACTTACAGTATATCCTAGAGAAAAAAAAAGTGAAAAACTCTTATAATTGGAAGTATTTAAAAAAGCATAGTATTTGTACCTCTGTAAGAAGTAAATCTGCTCACATCTGGCCTATAGTAAGAAGGCTTATGAGTAAATGGGCCCCACCACTGCTGGAAGTGATTTAACAAAATACAATGTTTCAGTTTAAATATTAAACTGTATGTACCTAAGATTTCTGCAGTTTTACACTGCTTATGTGCCTTGTAACTACAAAAAGAGTGAAATAGATGGAATCCTGGGTTTGAAAAACCCAAGTGTCTTCAAATCTTCAGCCAGTCCAGAAGTTAATTCAAGACCTTGGTCCAATTACATTTTCCCAGCCTAATCCTCCTCATAGGGCTGTTGTGAGAATAAATCATTTTAGCTACTTGGGAGGAAAGGTGGTGAAGAGATACACAATTTGGCAACAGGTGTGCTATGGATTGTTTTTTCAAGAATCCTGAGATAAGAGGAAATTGAACTGTTGGTTATTGAAGGCCAATTTCACCTAAGATTATACAGGAACCACAATTTGTGATGTGTCCTGCTTTCTTACTACACTTCCATTCCAAAAATCCAGGCATTTCCCCACATTCAGGACTGACTGTGAACTTTGACTGATCTCATGATGCTATTTCTTTCTGGGAGCAGACTTGATGTTTTCTGATTTTGTTCCAGCTTATTTGAAATCACAACAAAATATTACTTTCTTGGGAATTGCTACGGCTCTGCAAACCTTACAGACAGTTCATGTTTTCACTGGCAGGAACTGTTGCTTTACCCCACTTCTTAGCTGTTTGGCCCAAGTCATTATTCTCTCCCTGTACCCAGTTTACCATTCCTGCAGTCTGCCTCTTCCTAGATGCCTAGTTAAGAACTTATCCTCTTCCAGCCAAGGTAGCAATATGCAACTATTGTCACAGTTACTGCCAAAAGTGCATGGTAGTAAAATTGCCCATGTGCTATCATTTAGCCTTCCCAACTCACATGGGCTTTTAAAAGGCAGAATAATGGTGGCCAAGCAACTGGGAATTTGTGGGACTATTTTCAGTGCTTCTCAAGTCTTATTTGCAAACCATTAGACAAATGCACATCAGTGTATATACACAGTACTGAAAAACATGGTGGGGGGAGGGAGAGAAAACAATTACTTGTATTTTATTTTTGTAGGATTTGGGGTGAGGGTATTTTGTTACTCCAAGTCACTAATTAGTTGACATTCTTTCCACTCTCCTATTGATCAGCTGGAAGGAAAGAGGGTGAGTTCTGATAGAGTGGTGTTCTTTGCTCTTAAAGGTCAGGAGAAGTGAAGATGGTCACAGGTTAGTTTGAAACTACTTCATAAAGGATAGGGGGTAGAAATGCTGGGGTATAGAAATGTCATCTCTCTCCTTCTCTCTTTCAGGAAGCTCGAAAAGCTTGTGCTGACACTACACTTGCTCAGGTAGGAAATGCTAACAGTACATTACCCTGTTTGAATATAATTTGCCTGAGTGGGTAAGTCTGGCTTAAACTCAAGAGAGCAGCAGGTTCCCCAACTCACTTGATATGGCCCATTGGTGGAGGCCTTTTGGTAATAGGAGCTGCATTTCTTCTTTTCTGTACAGCTTGCTTCTGACATTGAAGTGGTTGGGCGCATACAGCTGCGGACACGGAGGACTCTGCGTGGACATCTGGCCAAGATCTATGCTTGTCACTGGTCCACAGATTCCAAGTAAGTAATGCTATAATGGTGTTTCTCAACCTTGGCAATTTTAAGAGGTGTGGACTTCAACTCCCAGAATTCCCCAGCC